AAAGATAGATAGATAGATGATAGGTAGGTAGATAGATGATAGATAGAAAGATAGATAGATAGATGATAGATAGATAGATAGATGATAGATAGATAGATGATAGATAGATAGATGATAGATGATAGATAGATAGATAGATAGATGATAGATAGATAGATGATAGATAGATAGAAAGATAGATAGATGGATAGATAGATAGATAGATGATAGGTAGGTAGATAGATGATAGATAGATAGATAGATAGATAGATGATAGATAGATAGATAGAAAGATAGATAGATAGATAGATAGATGATAGATAGATAGATGATAGATAGATGATAGATAGATAGATAGATAGATAGATAGATGATAGATCGATAGATAGGTCGTGTGACTTTAGGTACAGGCCCATCCTCCTAGGAAAACCCTCCGTCTCTGTGATGCTTCATCTTTATCATCCAGTTGACAGGATTTGGAGTCACCTGGGAGACACTCTGCTGGTTGTATCTGTGAGAATGTTTCCATGGAGTGTTAGCAAAGGCAGGAGAGCCCACCCTAAGCATGATGGAATCATTCCATTGGCTGGGTTTAAGCTGAATGAAGAAGGAAACAAGTAAGGAGCCAGTCAAGCACCAGACTTCATTTCTCTCTGCTTTCTGACTGTGGATGTCATGTGACCATCAACTTCCCACCCCTGCTGCCCCAGCTAGAGTCACTTGCTCTTCCCACAGCACCTTCCCCGAGGTGATATACTGCACACTCAGACTGTAAGCCAAAAGAAAATCTCCCTTCCTTACAGCAAGAAGTGACTAATGTGGTATTTTTGCAGAAGTCCTTAAAGATCCCCTGTTATCTGGCAAAGCTACCCAGACTGAGTGGGTGAGGGTCCTGAGTCATATCAGAGCATAGGAAATGGTTTTCAGGAACCCTGGACTGTGTGGCATGGCCCTTCTTCCCCTTACTGCTAGACTATTAAGAAAGAGGTGTTGATAATCACAGCATGGGTGGTAGAGGCAGAAGGATCAGATACTCAAGCCCAGCCTTGGCTACATAGCAAGTTTAAGGGCAGCCTGGGCTACATGAAACCAGGTCTCTGAAAAGCACTAAAGCAGCAGTTCCCAATCTGTGGGTCATGATCCCTTTGGGGGTTGAACGACCCTTTCAGAGGGGTCACATATCAGATATACTGCATATTGGATATTTAATTATGATTCATGGCAGCAGCAATATTAGAGTTATGAAGTAGTAACCAGATAATTGTATGGTTGTTGGTAGTGGTGGTGGTGGTG